TTATTTGCCCCCCAGCTCTACATACGCATCATCCAGAGACATGACTGGAGGAGCCCTCAACCCTTACTCCCCTAACCATCTACTCAGGCTTGGGAACCTGCAATAATTTCTAACACATAAATCAAGGAAATCAAATCAAAGCAACGGGAAGCCCAGCCAAGCCCTGGCAGCCAGGAGAAACCCAACAGCTTCTGGCTTTGGGGTGAAGGCCAGCACCCACATGGAAGCTGGATCGCTGGCTGCCAAGAGCCCCTTCCAGGTGACATTAAGACAGCTAGGAAAACAACCGGACTTCGGAATAGGACTGTGTTTTATGCTCTTCTGTAGCCTTTCGCTTCATATCATTACCTACTAGACCCAAATCTGTTACCTCGAATTTTAAACCTAAAGCCATGCTCTGTTTCACTGCCAGGTCAGCGCCAACTCCTTCAAACGATGTTTCACAAGCTCGGGCGAGGTTAGCTGCCGAGGGCGCATGACCAGAACACGCCAGGGAGCGAGACACCCGTGCCCTGAGGTGCTTGGAGAAACCCCGGGCTGAAGCGTATCCTCCTGGTCTGCAGAGAGGCCCAATGGCTTGGCCAGCAGCTCACCAGGAAGGAGCGCGCTCCGGATGACGGATTGGTCCAGGGCAAAGGGATCGCTCCCTGGTCCCCACCGCCCCTACGGCGCCAAGCACTTCCCTGGAGCCCCTGGTGCTGGGAACATCCCTCAAGTGACTTTGTAGCAGGAGAACCACAGCTTCTGGTAAGTAGCTCCTCGCTTCGAGCCCTGGGAGCTCTCGGAGACACGCTTATAGAAGTTGGCCAGGCACGAGTTCAAGGAGACTATTTCAGGAGACCTGGCTAACCAAAGACTGCAGGGCTGCTCTCCCACTGACCCTCGTAACCAAGCCCCCAAGTTGCCGAGAGAGCTGCGCACGGAAGTGGGATGAGCTCCAAGAAACGGCGCGCGCTCCCCCCAGCTCCTCCTGAACCGATCAAGCTCCACGTTATGAAAAGGACGTTAATTGCCTACAACAGCGGGGCCGGCACTAACCCGGCTCTGAAGGGGCGCTCCTGGGTTAACGACCTGCCGAGGGAGCTGCTCCCCGGGGCAGAGCCGCGCTCTCCTGGCTGCCCCCAGGCAGAGCCCTGGTGGGGCGGGTCCCACGGGACTCCCTGGGGGCATCCTCTCCCTATCCATCATGAGAGTGGAGGGCCGGGAGCCCTGACGCCAAGAGAGACCCCGCCACTGGGGAGACCTGGGCGACAGGAGCGCAGAGCTCGGCCCGGCTCAGGGCAGCTGTAGGGCCGCTCTGCCCGGTCACGCACCCCGCATGCAAGCACTGACAGAGCCCCAAAGCGACCCTTTGGGCTCCAAGGAAACCACACGGGATGGCGCAGACCTTCCGACCCTGCTGGAAAAAGGCTGCAGCAAATGTCCCAGGGATGCTGGTTCCTGCAGGTTCCCTTTGCTAGAGCCCAGTGGCTGTTCCCTGCCTCACTTCCACTCTGTCATCTCCGTCACTGGCACGGCTGAGAGAAAAGGGACTGAGCTCTCACCTCATCAGTTTTGAGAGAGGGAGACACAGGCATTTGCTTCCTTCCCCTCCAGCTCCATGGTGAGGCAAAGCTGCTATTTTAAACCCTTTAAGGATGCAGAGAGCCAACCACACTCCAAAACTAAAGCAGATTCTGGGACAGGATCCAAGAGCAGGGCCATCAGCTCCCCCAGCCAAACAGAAAATAAAAACACTGCCTTAATCCCAGGCTGCTTAAGCAGCTGAGAATTTAAAAGGTGGTTTATAAGCAGGGATATAGTTCTGCATTGTTGGCATAAGGTGCTCCTTTATGTAACAAAAACTACTTGAGTGGCCCAGGGCTTTAAGGTGGTATGTACGAAGAGATAGTATTACAGTCTGCTGGCTACGGCACTGCCCTGTGCAAGAGGAAAGGACTTGAGTCACTTCATTCTTTAAGGTGGTATGTAAGGATAAAGTTATGGTTTGCTGGCTCATTGCAGTGATGTGTTAAGAGTTGGACTCCTGTAAGCGCTCCTCTGCCATCCCCTTTACCAGAGAGCCGGGGAAGCTGATGAGGACAGCTCGCGGCTGCGCTGTCCTGCATGCCTGGAGGCAAGGCCCTGCTGCAGGATTAACCCTTGGGGCCTCAGCCATTTTCCTGCAGGGATAACGCCAGGGTCAAGTCCAGCAGATGGACAGGAGCCAGCCTGTGAGGCGGCTCAGTTGAGTCACCCCCTCCCGTGACGCTCGCCCGTCTCACCTCTGCAAAGAAGGCAGTGGTGGTGACCCGCTGGTTGTCCAACACGCTGCTCAGGATCGGGATGAGGTTCTTCACGATCAGGGGGAGCCTGGGGCCAGCGTGCCGTGCCATCGCGCTGCAAACAGAACAATCCCGCGTCACCCCACATCGGGCCACTCCGTTCAGATGGATTCATCCTTCACAAACAGGAGGTTCAAAACTCAACAGCATGAGGAACCACCATCCTTTCCGCAGAAATGGAAATCAAGCCAGTCACCCTTGTGCCCTCTGACCTCCACTGCCTAGAGCTACAGGCGACTCGTGGACCTCCAATGACTTTGAGCCAGCTGCAGAGCCTCCACCTTTGACCGGGCTTCTTAGGAGTGCACATGCGGGCACGCAGCACCCCTCCAGCGCAGGAGTCTGCCAGAACAAGGCAAGTCCTGCATTGTGCCCCGCGCAGACCTTGCACCGGCCAAGCCCGTGCCCTTGGGAGCACGGATGGCAGCTCCCCACCTGCCTGCGGCCTCCCTCACCTGCGGGCAGTGGCGCCTCGACCTATGCCTGGCCGCTCCCAGCCTGCCTCTCTGCTCACTGCCATCTCCTGAGGCTGAGAAGGAAGGGCAGCCAAACCCAAGGCAGTCCTGGGGACAGCAGAGCAGCAGCTTTGTACCACTGCCACCACCTCTGTGTCTACAGCCAGGCTGCCCTATGCAGCATAGACGGCTCCCATCGCTCCGCGCGGGCTAGCGACTGTGCGAGAGGGCAACGGCAGGGAAAGCCCAGAGGCCCTCACCCTCTGTCTCACGCCTTTCGCGTTTCTGCATCCTGCAGCATCGCAGAACCGAGGCATTCGCGTTCAGGACAGCAAACACCAACAGCTTGTCTCGCCTTCTCCCAGCACCCATCCTTGGTCCACGCTTGGGTGGCTGGTGCTGCCACCAATTGCACCCTGTCCTCTTCCACGGAAGCGCTGTTTTGCGCCACTCCCCGCTCCTCTACCACCCAGACCACTTCCCTCCCCTTAACACAGCATTGTTAACAAGCTAACAAACACGTAAACCCTGTTTGGTGCCCCGGCCCAAGCAGCACGGCATCGCTCGGGCTAGAAGGGGGCTGAGCCTATTTACCCTGCATCTGCCCTCAGCTAAGCTCATGTTTTGCCTGGACAGCTACAGGAGAGCCAGTTTAAGAACCGGGAAGAGAAGAAGCTGAAAACAACCTGCGCAGCCAAGAGCCTGGCTGGTCGGGCCTGGCCTCCCCTCCTGCCGCCTGCTCGCCCGGGGACGAGCCCCAGGGCAGCGCCGACGCCTGGCACGCTCCGGGCACCCCGACCACAGAGGCCCCCTGGAAGGAGCCTGCTCCAGCAGACCTTGGCCAGGAGGGACGGGCTTTGTTTTGGATGAGACACTCAAGCGTTTGGGAGGTTCAATAAAGCATTTTTGCAAATACTAGAAAATCCCAAACCAGTTGTCTCCTCCACAGCTGTCCAAGAGCTATTAACTGCACTGGGTGGAGGGAAAGCTAAGTCCCCAGCTGAACCGGATTCTGCTGAACGGGACCCTGGGCTGCGGCCATCCCGGCCAGGCACTCCTATGGCCTTGTGTTCACACGCAAAGCGCGTTAGCTGCCATTGGCACGAGGATGCGCGGCAGCTCCCAGCCAGCCAGCCGCGGATCAGATGCCGCTGCAACACCTTCTGAAAGGCATAGACATTTCAGCAGCAGCAAAAGGCACGTTTCCATCAGAGACCTTGCAGTGCCTCCATCAGAGACCTCAGCAGGAGCAGGGCAGCTAGCGCGAAGGCAGCGCCTTGATGCAAGCACAGCGACGCTGCGGACAGCAGCAGAGGCTTTGCTGCTGCGTGTGAAGAGCTGCACGCGGCAAGTCGCACCTCCGACAAGGCCTGGCAACGCGCGCCCCAGGGAAGGACAGGGAGCCAGGCACGCATCAGCAGGGTTTCCGCGGTCCTTTCTTAAAGGATCTGAGCGATCGGCTGCCTCCAGCCTGACTGCTCCCAGTACATGCCTCGTCCCCCCTCCGCATCCACCCGGGCTCCTTGCCCCTCCGACAGCAAGCCCACGGGCTAATCGCACTACCACCACGAGCACCCCTGGGGTCGGCCCACTGCAGGAGAGCAAGGCCAAAGATTAGTCACCGTCCCCACCCAGGCTCAGTCTAGCA